AGGGGTATAGTTGGCATGCCAAGAGTCGAGGGTTTACCTATGTTCTACGGAACATATGGACAGTTTTACCTATGTCTTTCGAGACATATGGACAGTATACCTATGTTCTACGGAACATATGGACAGTTACCGAGGATCTTTATGACCTCTGGACAGTTACCGAGGATCTTTATGACCTCTGGACAGTTACCGAGGATCTTTATGACCTCTGGATAGTTACCGGGGTCTTTGTGACCTCTGGATAGGTCCTTCGGGACATTTATATGAGCTGTGGTGACAGCATAGTGGTGCACAACCTCAATAGACTCACATATCTACAGTTCTCACATGTGCACATGGGCTAATAAGAGATAACATGGAATGTACTGTATATGATATATGTGTGTTAGTGATTATTGTATATGCTATAAGATATATGATATGAGCTTAATTGATTATATGAACAAGAGAATAGAAATATGAAAGGTGATAATATGATAATGATAGGAAAGAAGATAATTATATGTATGTGTGGATATGTATATATATATATCTATATGAAAGGTGCATAGTAGGAATCATTACATGTATATGTGGGTATGGTGCTTGTACGTGATATGTTAGTAGAAATTGTTCAAGCATGATTACGAGTTAGAGTTTTATTATATGTTTTATACCTCACTAAGTCAACGACTTAGCGTGTGATTGTTTCACACGTAGGTTACAGAAGTGAGAAGAGTAAAGAGCTAAGAGGAGCAAGACAGGTCAGTTCTCCTTACCCAATTGTCAGATCAGAAAATATATGTACGGTATATAGAGTGTAGTTGGCATGTAGTCTAAAGATATAAATTGTATGAACTCTGATATATTTTGTAAACGTTTTGAATGAGTTAAATGTTATCCAAGTTTTTAAATTACTCACTATTTTATACGAATAAATGTTTGAAAAGTCAATGTGACACTTCGGACTCGTATCCGGGTCGAATACGGGTTGGGGGTGTTACACTGATGAGGTTCAAGATTGGCTTCCGATTGTACCAAATCCGAGTTTATTGAGGGAGCGTGGTCGTCCGAAATCCAATCGAATTCATTGCGATATGGATATCCGAGAAAGATCTAGACAAGACAGAAGATGTGGGCATTGTAGAAACACATGACACACGAGAAAAACATGTCCACTTCTGTTGTCATCAAGTAACAATTGATGAGGAAATGATGTATTTGTTTATCAAATAATAATTCTTGTACTTTAATTTGCATTTACTTCAAGTTAATGATAACCAAATTGGTATTTGAATATAATTTTAAATACAACAAACTTACAATAAGTATTAAATGGTAAATGATAACCAAATTACAATAACTGATATTAAATGGTAATAAACAAAATTAACTGAAATACATTAAAAAAGTCCAACAAATTTAACAAAATAAAGTAAGTATTAAATGAGAAATAATAAAAAATTACAATTTAACAAAATAAAGTAAATACAAATATAATAAAAAAAATCTATCGATACCTGCGACGCGAATGTGTTCCGCAGGGCGGTGGCTGTCGGTCTCGAGGAGGATTTATTCGTATCACTGGTTCTGACTCCTCGCTGTCATCTTCATCACCATCGTCGTCGTCGTCGTCCTGAGCAGATACATTAGGTTGATGAGGAGGTGATGACGATGAAGCACCTCCATAGAATAAGGACCCTGGAGGTGTATGACTGATTATCCCACCGGCCTACGAAAATTGGGAAAACTGGGAAAACCCAGACATCGTTGAGTGTGAAAACTATACATGAGGTGTTTGTGCTGCTGCCATAGGTGATGAGGTTGAACCCGCCAAATATCTAGCATATGAACCCTAAGTCGGATCTGCAAACATAGACCCATTATAGCCTCCGAGAGGGGTCATCTGTGACGGTGGCGGCGGTGGGGTCATAAAACCAGGTGAAGGCGGCTGCGGCGGTATCTGGTAATGGAAAGGCGATCGCGGAATCATATATGGTTGCGGCATCATAAATGGCTACGGTGGCTGCTGTGAAGGTCCTGCTGGTGCAGCTAAGGATGAACCGGAAGCACCTGCTCTCCATCCATGAGTTGGGGGACGATGGTGCTGTGTCGATGAACGTCTCTGTCGACATCGTGGAAAGGTCTGTCCTCATGCATCCTCGGGAAGTAGAAACGATTTTTCGTTACTGTTGAACCACTCATAATAACCCTCAGCATACATCAAGAAGTCAGTAAAAATGGGCTCTCTACGGGGAATGCGCCGATGTCGATCCTCCCACAACACGACCCACTCATGATGCCTCACCAGCCAATTTGTATATGTCTTGCCACGTCTATATAAGTTATGCAACTCGTCCATATTGCGAGGTGCTTCCGGAATTGGTTGAAAACAACCAAACTGTCGGAGCACACGATCAGTGGAGTGCCACTCGACGGTCGTATAACATATCAGAGGGACCATCGCCATCCAAACATCTGATGGACCTCTCAACTCAGGTAGGATCACCGCCCTCACATCATCAGTAGAATATGGCATCCATTCAAACTAAAACAAATAATATATAATTTTTATCAAAATAATAATCTAATTATATAACTATAATCTAAAATCGATTTTTAAACATTAAAATTCATACCTGTGTGCCAGCCTTCTGATCGATTAGCACCCTATTTTTTTCTAAATCATCAGGTAGCTCCTAATGATTTTTCCTATCAGTAGACCACCTATTCAAGAAAACAAATTATTATACGTTGTATAAAATTATTAATATACAAAATCAGTTTTATAATTACCTCAGAAGTAGTGGAAATACGAATGAGTTCTTCACAACGGGACATAAAAAGGGCAATCGATACCATGCCCAAGACTGCAGCAGTAGGAGATATCCGCCGATAGTATTACGCCTGTAGTTAGTGGCTCCACACATCTCCTTGTACAGCAAAGCCAAAACTGCCGAGCCCCAACTAAATGATCCGACGAGACAAAAGTCGCTAAGATGTCGTAACCACATACAGTAAACTAGGTTGCGCGATTTGTCCGGCATCAGCAACCCTCCTATCAACTGCAATATGCATGCCCGTGCATACATCTTAACCTCATCCTCAGAGGCGTCTGCGCTCAACTCCCGAAAATTGGCATCTAACCAATTTAACGGTATCATACATCCGATAAAACTTTCCGGGACACGTCCTAGATTATCCCGACACAAATTAGTCCAAGAACCGGAAGCTATCCTTGATATCACATCTCCATCTACTGGAAGCCCCAGGTGCATAGAAACATCCTCAAGCGTGATCGTGCACTCTTCGCACGGAAGATGGAATGTGTGGGTCTCCGGCCTCCACCGCTCTACTAAGGCAGAAATAAGGTCTGGTTCTATCTTACAGTGACCCTGATATCTACCTATGTAACCAAATCCAGCCTTTACTAAATACAGCAATACACAACTAGGTATCACTAACTTAAGATTCCTAATAAAAGGATCTAATACACGGTCCTTCTCCTAAAAATAAATAATTACAAAAATTAATTCTTAATCTAATAATCATGCATTAAATAAATCAACTAATTATTACTAATATTTTAAATTAAATTAAAACGTTAAAATGTTACTGTATCAGCAAAGTGTCGAGATATATGATTTCCATCCAAGCAAAGTAGACTGCCTTCCATTATATATCTGTAAAAGAATTATATTAGTAAAATCTTAAATAAAGTAAAATACTTAAATAAATTAAATACATAATATTAAAAATATTATAAAATATACTTTAAACAGAGAGAGTATTTGAGAGAAATTGAGAGAATTTGATGTGGTGAAAGTGATTGAGGATGGGGGTATTTATAGGGAGGATTGGGGTGTGATGGTGGGTAATTAAAGGTATAGTGTTCCCCCTGTACCGCGCTATACCCCACGTATCAGATAACCAGGTATAGCGCGGCCCCTGATCCGCGCTATACCCCTACATGGCGTATAGCGCGGATCAGGGGTCGCGTTATACCCACGTGTAACCCATGTCAGTATAGCGCGGGGCAGGGGGAGCGCTATATCCCACGTGGCGCCAAATCAGCATATAGCGTGGGGCAGGGGACGCGCTTTACTGCTACGGGTGTTAGATCGGGAAATATAATTTAACCGGTGTTAGATCGGTAAATATACCGATCACCGGTGATTTTTCGGGAAACAGCCAATTAATCACACCTTCCTCCTTCCATTTCAAGTTTTCTAGTTAATATATATATTTTTTAAGCACATTAGAATCTATAACCTTTAAAATATTAAAATGATAATAATGCTAATTGAATTAAAATTCAATTGACTGTAGATTTTAATTATTATTTATCAACATTTTATTTTTATTTTTGAATCTAATAATCTTTTTAGACGTTGATTAAGCCATGGGCTTATTTAATCTGCTTACATTATCATCAAGCTGCATTAGTCCGTTAACCTTAATTTGTGTTGACCTAAGTTGGATAAATCAGGTTTGATTCAAGTAACATAGACAAATGGGTTAAGACCCAAGTGGACAATGGGAATAACTTAACCAAGTATGGATAATGCTGCTGAATTATGGTTAATAATTGATCATGTTAAACAATTTTGTGATACACAATTGATTAATTAGATTAGTTGAAGTTGGACTTACACATGTATAAACTGAAATAGAATAAAAAAAGGGAATATACAGCACATAGTATAATACAGATCAGCACACTCGCATCAGCTGGAAACATGTGCACAGGCCATACGTGAAATCACGAAATTTGGAAGTTTGGCTGATCCACTTTATAATTGCAACAACTTGTTCGAGTCTTTTACCATTTTTAATGACTCCTGTTCACACTAACCCGGTTTTCGTGGACAAAACCCGAAAATTACATGTCGAAACGTTTCAATTCCATCACAAAAACATTATCGACTTCACAAAACTCGTTAGATTATGAATTATTTGTGCATCCAATAAACAACAATGTGGGATTAATGTTTCAGTACATCTATTGCTGAAAAAAGGAACACCAAAGGCATTAAAGTTTCAGTACATCTATGTATCATCCCAGAAAGCAGGATGGATATGCAAAAATTAACCAGGAAAGAGCCATCTAATTCTTATTGCATTGCATTCCTTTTTATCTCAACTTCTATTATTGGGTGTTATTCTATTTCGACGCAAGCAATTGGAGCATTCAAATGTACATTCTGTCAAATTCAACTTCCTTACAAAACCAGAGATCAGCAGAAAAAGATAAAAGTGGAGTAAAACTCATTTCTATAAGAAGAGAATCGTGAATCCTACCTCAGCTATTGTAGCTCTAACAATGCAGCCAAATGGTATGAGAACGGAACCTGTCATTAAGATTGCATGACTTTGCTTTGTTAGATACATGCAGGGGCCTATAAATCCTGGCATTTCCACAGTGGTGTACCTTCAATAGAAATAAAACCATCAGCAGAGAGTTCCAGAGGAAAACACGGGCTTAACAACAACGGTTGGATTACCCATGTTCTTTTCCATCAACGATGAGCTCTTAGTAATCATCTCTTCCTTGTGATTCACTCGATCCCTGTAAGAACAAATGCTCAAGGGCAACTTCTTGGGCATTACTGTTCCTCTCTTTTTACAGGAAGGATATGCATCTTCACAAGCTTTCTCCTTTGAATAACCTGATTCCGCTTCACCATTATCCAACACCGACAGCCCTGATTTTCCGTCATTGGCTACATTCACATGCTCCCTAACCAAGTCATCAGAATCGATTTCAGCTGCTATAGTACTTCCATTGAATGTGGAAGAGGGGCTTCCTCCCAACACAATACCCCGATTGGGAACCTTTTTGCTCTCAAGAGTTGGCAAGCTATTAGGCCTTTTGTGTTGATGACCTTTCCATTCAGATAATGGTGAACCTTTTGAGATTCTCGTAGAACTATTGATTGCTCTGTGCAACCTTTGGGCTAAATCTTCATCTACCCTAGATTTCTCAATAGGTTGGTGTCTATAGTATAAGACTTGAACTGGGACATGCTTCTTAATCTTATTCTTTTTAAGGTATCTATCCTTAATAACGGCATCATCAGAAAATGTAGCTACCAAGTCCAATGCACTCTTAGCTGCAGCGATAGCTTTAGCTGCAATTGCAGACTTCTCCTCTGCTGCAGCTCTGGCAGCTTCAGCAGCCTTAGCGGCAGTAATAGCTGCTGTTCTCGAGGCCTCGAAAATCTCCTCTGGAGAAAGGTTAGGATTATACAAACGGGAACTCAATAAGTTATTAAGATGAGCATCAACATCACTTGATGAAGTAGCAGATGATGGTGAAGGTGGTGAAGGAGATGAAGTGGAAGAAGCAGCTACCGGCTGAAATGAAGTGGCATTTGCATTCGAAGCCTGTTTCTTAAAACCTGCCAACAGGCGCTTCCGGGGAGGCAAAAGGACATCGGCATCCAAGTGATTAATGTCACAAATGTTAGCCTCCATTAAATCCAGCTTATTATAATCTGAAGTACAAGAGGATGAGTAAATTATTTACAAGGATAATCCAACCGCTCATAATCACATTGATCCTATAACATCAACAATCATAGATTCAATGTTCAATGGTAAACAAAACCCAAAAAGAAAATATGAATTACAAGGCAAAAAAAACAAATAAAGAAAATCTCAGATAAATCAATAAATAAACCCAGTTTGGAAATAGCATAAATGCAAGCAGGTGATCATTGAAAGATATTTCATTCGTCGTAAATGACATAAAGACTGAAAGCCTGAAAACCCTATCTGCATATTCTGTCGCAGAATTACCAGTAAAACCAATGGAAAACTTGATGATCTCGCAATTAAAATGAACAGCCAAATTGAAAGTGGAGGGCCGAGCGATTAAAACAAAGCCACAGAGGCAAGCAACGTAAATCTGGGGATTGTAGAGGGGTGATTACGATGTAATAGTAATGAAAACACGATGAGATGTAAATGGAAACAAAGAGGGAATGCAAAATGACTGAATTTTGATTGAAATACCTGATTATATGTATATATCCGGAAAAGAAAGAAAGTGGTTTTGTTTTAGGATTGTAGAGGAAGATAGGGCTGAGGAGATTGAGATTAGGGTTTGTTTTTGTGTGGGGGAGTTTGAAATACCAAAAGGTATTTCAAGGTTCTGGAGAGAAATGGTTCCCGAGCCGGAGGAGGGAGAGGGAATGAATGAGAAAGTGAAGGGGATGAGAAATATAAAAGGACTGGTTTAATCTGAGGATGAGATTTTTGGATTTTCATTTATATTTTTTAATTAAAATTTTCTAAGGATGAAAATGAAAAATTATTTAAGAAAATATAGTCTAAGTAAGCAAGGTAATGAAAGTATGTTTTGTTTTATAATCACGGTTAATTAATTAATTTAAATCGAATGTTATAAAAATTTATAATGACGAGATTCACATATATGATTTTACTTAAGAAATTTTAAAGTCTCAATTCATTAGGCTAACTAGGCCGAGGACCTTCGACATTTTCGTTTTCGAAACAAATGTTTATCTCTTACATTATTTCATAAGGATACAATATGATTTTACTATGAATTGATATCTGATTCATCAATCGATTAATTGAGTTTATTAATGGTTTTTTTTATATAATCTCTTATCAATAGTATATACAATCCACATGATTTATTTATTTTGGGACCATTTATGTATTTACACAAGATTTATCCATCCAACATATGTTGAAATGTCCAAAGTTTTAACCATCAAACTCAGACCGAAGAATCATCAACTACGGTAAAATCACGCATGATCCTAGTTTCAATGAAGAACTCGCCAGAACATTCATGGGGTTCCTTCTATTAACAAAAAGAAAAACAAAGACAAAACACAATGGCACACTACAGAAATCATACAAAGAAGTCCATTTCCAGCTTAACTGGCTCATCTCATGTTCAAACTAGAAGTATTAGCTTTACGATGTTAAGCAATAAGCATGCTATTGTTCCATGATTAAACCAAGTTCTTTATCTCCACAGTCGGCCCTAGCCCACCGATTGGAGTCTCCGATGGCTTGTTTGCGCAACCTGAATCTCATCTCTCACCCTGCCATGCCGTAGTCTTCTGCCTGGTCGTAAATGTTGTAACTTGCCGGCATTCGCATTTTTCCGGACTGATGTTCATCTCCTGCGTCATTAGGATATTCTATAAAAAAAAATATTTAAATTATACGAGTTATGGACCGTGAGCTCATCTGAGTCCATCTCTGCTTCTACGAGCGTCAAAATGTTTTCAATTCAGATAGCCAAACAAGGAGTCCTGATGCTTACCACCTTTGTATGCATTTGGATTGGACATGACACTCAAGAAATGCAAGTCGGAGGATATCTCAGGGTTCTGGAAGCACAGATCTTCAGCTCTCGGTGCAGGGTTCTGCTGAGAGATATGATTCTCGTGCTTCATCGTCTTCTTTTCATTCGGTGACTCGACTTCCGTCTCTTGTTCTGATTCAGCATTGTTGGCTGATGATCCCAGTTGCTTCCTCTTGGACCGAGCCCGTCTGTTTTGGAACCAGTTATAGACATTCGTTTCGGAAATTTGACCATGCTGGCTCACCTCCGAGGTTATCTCCTTGATCTTTTGCTTGCTCGGAGTTCCAGTCCCCTGTTCGAATATACGTTCCAGAATCTGGAGCTGCACCGGAGTCGGTGTCCACCGCTGTCTAGCCGTAATTTTGTGCCCAGCAGATGCCACTAAAGGGTCGCAATACAGGTTCCCCAGCCTACCACCTGAGAGAGAGACGATCAAGTATCCGAGTTAAACAACATAATCATCATTTCCCAGAAATTCAACAATATGTTCACAAACAACACCGCCCATCAATAGTTAGGAGACAACCAAAGAAGCTAGACTAAGAGCCAAGTGAAAAATCATTGTCTGCCCTATATTATTTGAAGAATCATTGTTCTTCACAAAGTAATCGATTGTTAGTTACAAATTATCTTGGATTCTTAGTTACCTCTTTCTTTTGCATTTTTCTTGGATACTCAAGTTTCGGACCGGACCGGACCGGACTGGACAGGACAATTTGGCGTACCTAACAAACATTATGAACAATTTCTTGATTCCATTCTTCTTCTACTATTAGTAAGGTAATAGTGGTCATAAATCAGTCAAGTTCGTTCTTCTTCGTTTTGATAAATATTTTTATCCACTTATTAAATATCAAAGAATATTTCGACATACATTTCATCATCACCCTTTAATTCGATTTTATTTTATAAGAACATATCAACATCCGAATCTAATTCATTTATCGTTTTTTAATAATTGTTATTTGCTCTGTTCTATTTTGTAAACTTGAAAGGGTGTTGTAAGATGGTAAAGCCCAACAAATTTCTGTTAATAATATCGTGTTTGGGTTTAAATATGTATTTATTATAAATCAATGGTTTTTCTATTGTTTAAAAGAGCTTTAAATTTTAAATTAAAATCAAATGACATAATTAACTTTTAAAATCATTTTGAAATTAAAATCGATTAAATCAAACCGAAAACTACTAAATTAATTCATCTAATTTTTACTCGGCCAATGAGTAACCTTTCTATTTATACAACCCAGTGCTTTATCCAATCACTCCTGGATATTGCCTTCAGCCCAATACAATTGTATTGCTTATAATTAGGGATGGCAACCGGGTCGGGGTTAAGGTCGGATTTTGGTCAACCCAATCCGACCCGATCCGATAATATGTATCCTCTAACTGAATTCAATCCAACCCAAAGATTATATATCTTTCCTCTGATATGAATCGAATTTTTAAAGTATAAATTTGACTTGATCTGACCCAGTATAAAATAAGGATTTAATTACAAAAATAATAATTTTTTTTTAAGAAATTACACTATTATCCTCAATTAGAGTATAAATTCGATATGACCTGACCAATAAAAAATATTAATTGTCTTTGTATTATTATTATTATGCAAATGTCGGACAAATAAGATTAGAGCAACAAGTTCCCAAATAAACAAGAAATATATTTTTATGAAGAAAACACAACTAATAAGCTATCATATACTGTATGTATAAACCTCATCAACTTAACCTCTCTATGTCACAAACTCGGCAAAACAATATGTACAAGGGACAGCCAATCTCCCATAACGTTCACCTTTTGTAAAAGAATCACCTCTATGTATTTGCCTTCACTGTCTCCCTACTTAAATCTAACATCTGCTTCCTACAACACTCATAAATGCATATGTCCTTCACAATTTCCTCAACCAGATCTCCAATAATGTGCCATTCCACCTCTCTTTCCAATCCATTAGTTTCCTCGTCCACCAAGCCGGTCCACGGGGTGGAACGTAGATCTCCGGCCACCTTAGTATCGAGTGAGTAGTTGTATCTATTGTTTGGCGGGTGTAAATTAATGTGGACAATCTCCCACACAGAATTCAATAGTTTCCTTCCCTCCGGAGGTGTCGATATGGTGGAACCGAGAATCTTTCTCTTGAACCTCGACATGGCCACCGGTGGCCCGAGTATGGTCGAAAGTGCTTCATTCGACAAATCATGTAACAGTTTGTGATCTACCTTCTTATCATTCTCCTTGGCTGATTTTCTATGATATTCTTCCACTTGTTCAAAGACGGATTTACTTATAGGCTTCACTAATGGATCCCACCTTGATAAGAAGGATTTGTCACACAAACCATCATACAAACCGGAAGCAATAAGCAGATCTCTTATGTATCCTTGTGCGTGGTCCTCTGGATTCACTGTTTCAGATTCAGTAAGCTCCTTTTCTATGGTTATGCGGTTTGCCTTATCGGACTCTACTTCATTCAGTTGCCTCCTCAGCTCTGATCGATGATCGATAAATAAAAAAGATTGTCATGTAAGGTCCTTACATTACGCAAGCTATGTCGGTCCACAAAGATGTTTGAAATAAGAACAAGTATGTTTCATGTACATTATGCATGACAGGGGAAGTTGCATACCATTCAAATTAGAACTGATCCCTCTGAAAGCCAGTGGTATGGTATTATCTTCTCCCAAAGTCACATCCGGTGTTGATATTGGGCTGAGATAATCGACCTCCGTCCAAAATTCTTCATGTGGACTGCCGCAAAAAGATGCCGGACTAGGAGGTACCTCTGTAGGATTCTCCTAAGACCACCAAGAAAACAATCAGAAATGGTAAGTTTATGGAAGCATGACAGTTTATAAACAAGAAAGTGTTCTTACTTGGCACTTGCCAAAGTTCATAATAACTGTTGGTCCGCTCAAGATATCTTTTGCAAGATCATTATCGGCACCGAATGACTCCACCATGGATTGAATCTTCTTTCCGAATAGCCTCGGCCTAAGCGTCAAACCGTATTTAATATTGGAAACTTTTTCTTTAAAGTTGAATTTTTGCCTTCTTCTAATGTCTCCTGATGCAGTTTCAATGCCTTCATGCTTCGTCCTGATATGTGCACCGGATACAATATGGCGGTCCTCTAAAAGTAGCTTCCCGAATGATGTTCGGGAGATGGGGGCTGACAAGGACCTAACGAGATTTCTAGGAGATGGTTCACTGTTTAACGGCCAAACATCATCTCCATGCCTGAAAGATCTGGTTTGCATTTCTTGTACATGTTTAACAATTTCCCAGTCACTCTGCTCATTTCCGGATTTTGATATGTCTTGCATTCTTTTTATCCTCTCCCTTCCATTATCAAACACGGATGATCTAGAGTTGCATGAGGGAAATATTGGTACATCATACTGTGTTTCTTCCTTTAGCACATTCCTCAGTCTCTTTGACAAGAATCTTCTTGTATCTCGGTCGATGAACTCGGGGGAACCCGGTTCATTGAACAGAATGTCACTTCTATTTGATCTGGTTGATTCGGATCGAACTAAATTCATTCTGATATCCCTACTGCCATTTTCTCTGGCCTGATTTGCTATATGCTTAGCAATTTGTCTTGGACCAGATGATGGCTTTTCACTGAAAGGGGTCTCAATTCCACTTCCTCTGACCACAAAACTCTTTTTCCCATTAAAAGCTTTACCTTGCAGTTCCGATTTTAGTCGTTCCCTTACCTTGTCGAGAAAATCCTCCATACTAGCTCTCTCTTGGGAAGTACTAGGCGAAGATGTCCATGATTCTTCATGATCATAAATCCCATCAGGTCCAGGCTTCAAGATCACTATTCTTGTGGGAGCAGCATCCAGTTTCTCATTATAATCCATTGTTGAAGGTACACAAAAATCTTTATTTGTGCTTCGTCTTCTCAATTCATGTTGCCGGTCTGTAAAGAGATCTGATTTAGACCTCTGATGGTGCAAGTGCATGTTCAAGCCCTTTTCTTGTACTGCAAACCTCTTGGAATCCACAGGCTTCTCATGCATCGCTGGTACTGAATCCGCATAATGTGTCTTCCTTTCGTTGTTCGATTTCCCTCGAGTGAATTGATGAGTAGAAATGTTTCCAACATCAATAACCTTTGTACATTCCCTAAGCCTAGCCACTTGCCATGCTTCAAATTCTTTCTTAAACCTTTTCAATTCTTCCTCCTGAGGATGTTCCCGACGCCTAGGCTTTCCGACTTTAAGGTCGGCGTTCCATCTCTCAGCATCTCTGTCTCTTGTACTGTATATAGAGTCAACTTCCATTTGTTTCAAGAAATATAAGTTAGATCCCTTGACATTTTTCTCCCTTCCAGAAAGCTCGACTCGCTGGTTATCACTCTTCTTCGTAACCGATTGAGCTACAGATTTTGTATCAGATGGCAACGGATCCATCCCCATCAATCTGGCAACAATACTAGGTGAATTGTGTCTGGAGTTAAACTGTTTGGACATCTCCTCACTTAGCAATTTCTTCATTGAAGCCTCGGTTTTATAATAGTTCCTCGCTGACCAGTCTTCTTCCACTTGATAAGAGTTCTGAAATTTCAAGTGAATTGGAGGAGAGATGCATAAGAAATGCAGCACAAAGAACAGTCTCAAGTGTTTAAAAAGAAATCAGAAGGTAAAAAAATATTACCGGCTGATCTCCTACGGCATAGTAGCTCTGGGAAGGGTCTAACTGCATCTCCAAGCTATTTCGCGGAGTTTCCAGGACTGCATAGCAGCAAAACAACAGCATTACTGTATAGGACCACAGAATTCGAGAGCGACTTTTTCCCGACATGTAAAGAATATAATAACGCTTACCGTCTACGTGTTTCTTCTTTGCAAGTTTTTTTCTGGCCATGCTGCCTTGATGAAAGTCAAAAAGATTAAATATGCCTCCCATGCAGCCACCGGATCTACCAAATCATTTGCTCACACAAAATCTACTTCTTATCACTCCTAAAAATCACACACTGGACTTGTGTCCTGTAAAGCCACGAATGAAACAACACGTTGATTATCATTTCTCATCAGACGAACTGACCGCAGGCTGCAGAATGGGATGCATTGAAAGGTGTTCTGTTCTTCATTGAATTCTAGTCTATTTCAACCAACATAATCTCCTAAGACTTAAGTAACAAGATACCTTCATATAAAGATATTACACATGAATTTTGCAGAACAAATGACATAGGCACTGGTAAACAAATAAAACTGTGATCTGTAAGAGATGCAAGCAGCATTATTGACCTCGTAGAAAGGCAAACAATGGAAGGGTATTTCCAATCTAATCAAACTTTGCAACCAACCAAGCAAATCTGCACTTCCATTAACAACATTTTCTTCACGAGCTCCCTGAAAACTAATCCGAAAACCTAGACTAGAAGTAACAAGCTTCCTCGATTATGTTCGAAAGCCGGTTAATTTTAACCCTTTTTAAAGTCTCATCCAAGTTTTTTTTCATTATGGTAATTTCACAAACACATCCAAAATTGAGTTGGGCGAGGGGGTTGTGTGGTGGGGGGGGTGGACTTAGTGAATTGCAAAAGAATTATGCAGGCAGGCATCAAAATCATAGGCAACTCTCAAATCCATGTAGAGTATATCAAAAAAGATAAAAGCAAAAGGATGAAAAAGAACAAAAAAACAAAATGGGAAAGAGGAAGAAGTACAATTTATCTGAATTTGTGATGACAGCGCCTGCCACAAGCATCACACCATGAAACTTCCTTGATTCTCTGCAGGTTTTAAATGAAACTCAGACTTATCTAGCCAATTAACTTCCATCTTGAAATAAAGTCTACACTAACATCAAAGACCATGATGATCTAAGCAACAGCAGCACCTAATTTCAATAAACTCGACACAAAATGCTCCGTCAAAAGAACAGCTAACATCAAGCAAACCCCAGAAAGCTAAAAGTGAAACAGGGCTTTCGAAGAGAAACAAAAACAAGATGAAAGGATACCCTTCGTTTTAGAGGGAAAACTGAAGAAACGAAGAGCCATTGCTGAATGCTAAGGAGGAAAAGGAGAAGAATGAAAAGACATTATCATGGAAATGGGGTCGGTTGAAAGATGCATATGATAATGAACGAGAAAGCTAGAAAGATTGATAATTGAACAAAAGTGGGAACTCAAAAGCTAAGATTTGAATGACGAGAGGCGCAGGGATTATTAATGATAATACATTAATTATGACTAGTAATGGATGATGATGATGATAACAGAAGAAAAGTCGTGCCCTTTTCGTTACCAATGGTGGGGAAGTCTTTAAAGTTTTAACTCAAAATGAATAAGATAAATTGAATTTGGTAAGAGTAAACGGTGAGCTATAAGTTTTGACGCAGATGTGTAGGTTGAAGGAGAAGAGGGACCAGTGGACCACCCCCCAATCACATCATTCATTTATTTATTCATAAAAATCATAATCACTCCCACCAAAACAAAATGCTATTCCATATGGCTACGCTACACTATACCGAACCTCTACTCTCAAGCAGACGGGTTTGTATAGGATTCAGACAAGAGAGTTGGCTTAGCTCATATATGTCATGTTGTTCTGTTCTCCCCTCCAATTGGCGCCATTTTACAAGGGTCTCACTAACTCATTCAGTGGCATTGCAATGTACGTCAAACATTAATCTTGTCCAATTCTGGTTTTGGTGCATCTATTATGCTTAATTTTTGGTATTTAAAGTCCTCTCGAGTTTCAAAAAAATTTCGAAATTCAATATTTATGGATGGTTACAATTATTTAACATGATCAACGATTAGCTTTCGTGATTTGTCAAAACTAAATTTGTTATCTGAAAATTATATCTATTAGTTTTGCTCATCTGCATATAGTCAAGATGAATTTAAATTTGACACCAGTTAAATTAACATATAAACCATCATACATATCTCGAGAAGGATTTTGAATTCTCTTTCTTTCCTTCAATCTATCTCCACGTTGTATATCATCTTCTTTATTTCACCGAAATTATCGCTTATTACTTTTTATCTAAACCAAAAAAGATGAAATTACAACAGCCATCACAACTACCGTCGTCAACAGAACTAAATCTAACATTTGAGTGTATTAGAGGGACCAAAAGCAAAATTGGGCCTAAAGAATTTATCCTATTCGGTTGTCGTATTCAATTCCGTAGCTTACAGCCTGTCAGAATGAGGAATACTGTATACATTTATCTTCATCGTCAAGTGCGGGTTAGACTTTGGAGCTCCTTTTTCTGACTTCGATCATTACTTGTCGTCATCCTTGTGAAATAAGCTGTCCCTGGCGAAAAGCTTCGTTTATAATTAATCAAGTTGATGACCCCAAGTCATTCTCAATCAAACCCACGCTATTCAAACATTAAATGTGATTTTTAACACGAATCTTTCATGAAGGGATGCGACTTTGTTTGTGCGAGGAGGAAATGTAAGTGCCTTTGATGGGAGCAACTTGTGAGTTGGTGGACCAAAGCCTTGGGATTGGCGTAACACTAAACATCATTTTGCACATGCACTGGGACAAGTGTTTATGCTTGGCCTAATACTTGATTCCTTTTATTTATTTATAAATTTGAAGAATAATGTTCACTTGTATTGCATGTGCCTGTAACATTTATATTTATATTATATTTAAAATTTTAATTGAGTTGATTTTATCAATTAATTGAACGTTAATTAAATCAAAACATACACACATATATATATATAACTTGTTTAAAGAATAATTAATTTTATTAGAAATATATTTTTATCTTTTCATATTTTAAATAATCTTTAAATAAAATAAGTAAAAATATTTATAAAAAAAAATTCATGATTAATGTATTCATATATAATTCTCTTGTCACTCTACTTATAAATATTATTAAGCAAACTTTTGAAAATATATTTTTATATAAAACATTTTTTTCACTCAAATCTGGTTGTTTCACCGACCCAGAGCAACAAATTACTCTTTGATATTAGTATTTGATATTTTGAAGATTTTCATGTAATATATCCCTCCTAATTAGGGCCGTAAATAAGACGAGACAGATCGCGAACTATACGATATTGACTCGATCAAAGCTAGATAAATACTCGGATCAAATAGACTCGAGCTCGACTCGAGTTCTTAACGAGCCAAAACGAGCTATTTGATATTCGACTCGAAAAGCTTGTGAACAGCTCGAAAATATAATATATTAAGATTTTGTTTTTTTAAATAAATTATTATTAATATTAATATTTATATATTGATTTTTTAAAATACAATAAGATTTTTATGTATTTAAGGTTCAGGTTCGAGTTTGAGGCTTCAATCGAGTTAAGTTTAAGATTTTTTTTCATTTCGAGCCTTTTCGAGCTGCTCACGAGCTTCAGTTTAGGATTTCGAGTTCGAATCGAGCTTGAAAATTTTAACCTTGCGAGTTTTCGAGTCGAACTCCATTTCAGAGTTTTCAAGTCGAGCTGAGCTCAACAATACTCAAGTCGAGCTGAGCTCAACAATACTCAAGTTCGACTCGGCTCGTTTACACCCCTACTCCTAACACGGATTCCCTCCTTGAGAGCCTTACGAGGATTAGGCCGTAAATTGCATATATCATACTCCCTCCTTTTGCTGGTGCATTTTATCTGTTTTAATTCATACATACAATTAACAGTGTGCACCACTGTCTATATACTCTGTTTCCAAAGCCAAGACATCAACTAAAAATGTGTTGAAAAGCAGCATAGATGCATTCTCAGACTACAATATCAGTATCAAAATTGTTGGCTAACTGCTTGAAAATAAGAATAATATGTATGATACAGCTAGGAGCCATGCGGAAAAACACAAAATTTAAAAGCTAGGGAAAAACATATCTTAAGCCACTGTGTGCGTATACATGTACAGAAACTGATAAAAACAGGAGTTCAATACGAGTCATACTATATCCATTACTAATTGGGTGAACCAGATACATCATCAGACAAGTTTGAATCAGTAACCTAATCCAGTATCTAAGGTTTATGAAGCATACCCACCAACAGAGAGTACATTTGCTCTTTCGCAGCATCCCTGTTGCTGCACCTGGATGATTCTTCAACCTTACAACTGCACAAATTTACACACAACCGTTCAAATTTAGCTATGAAAGGCACAAGGGATCTAGATTCCAGCAGCAAAATCTAGGAGATACCTTCAGTAGTCCTGGTCTTTCATGGTTTCATGGATTCAAGTGGGGGCAGGATTTAAAAGAAGGAAAATATGTAGACAATCACTACATTCTCTTACCAAATAAACGTATGACGGTATGAACATCCATTGAGATATTTTTTACCTGCAGGTAAAGCTTTGCGAGGAATATTGGATTGAAGAATATTTAGGATGGCTGGAAAGAAGTATGAACTGAACAGCTCCATTTTACCAACTTCATCGACAATGAAGAGATCAGTATCTTCTCTGATCTAATAACAGACGTCATATATCAGCCTTCAAAAAATTACTTGATGAACACAAATGAAATGTGCATGTCGTGCGTAACTCAAACAGTTAACACCAAGCTCCTAACCCAACAGATTAGACCGTACAATTTCTTGAGAAAGATGATCTTATGGATAAGGGGGAGGGGAATAGGGGTCAAAGGAGCAGAAATCATAAAACCCACAAAGCATCCAACAAGAAGAGATTATGTTGAGGAAGAAGCCACCTTCAATTCAGGCAAAACTAATGATTCAAACGATGCTATATCCACTTTGTATTTCCCAACAGCAGGCCACCGATGAGCTTCTGGACTGTCAAATATCAATAGCAAACAGAGTTTTCAGCAGAGCTCTTTTTCTTTCTTTCCTTTCTAATAATGAAGGAAATCATCAAACCTACGGATAGTGGTAGAATAATCATAATCAGAAAAACCATGAGCAACCCGATTGCGCCCACAGTTCACAAGCAAAAAATGAACATGGGCAAATTGGTTATCTAAGGCGTGTGCTTCCACTAGGAACAATCCCAAGACCTCAAAATTTTGGTATTCTGCCCTCTCTAATCCAGTTATAACATTTGTAAATCAACATTCCAGCTCAATTTCCACTGCATTTGCTGCCGCCAATCCTACTTTACTAAATTAAGGAATGAATTAAAATAATAAGGGAAAAAAAAGAACCTGGAAATAGTGGAGGAGGCGAGGCGACCTCTGCGACCATCCAAGGTGACGACTTCAAACCCTACCCTCTCACCTCCCTGTCGAATCTCTTGAGAGTAGAAACCCTGAAGCTTGATGTTGGGGTTAGAGTGCTTCAGGCTCTCGCATATCCTCATAATCACAGTGGTTTTACCCACGCCCTACACGTTTGATAATCCAATTTCGAATTTCTGAAGATTGCAAAAGGTGAAGTCGTTCTTAATTTTGTACAGTAAATAGTAAAAGCAGTAGCAACACTTACGGGAGGGCCAGTAACGAGGAAGCATTTCCCAACACCTGCCATCGTTCCACCTCTACGGAACTGCGAGCGGCAGATACAGAACCCGACGCCATTGCTATTGGTATTTTCAAATAGTACACAGTTTTCTGGTTCAAGCCATGGATTCACTCAATTTCTAGAGTTTCTGGGCCATAGTCCATTTGCCAAATGCCCATGGCTACGGTCCGCAATTCAGGAGTTCGAACAGTACTCATCCTTGTCCGCATACGGATACTTATTTCAACGACCTTTATGTTTTTTTATATTTAGATACATGTATGATTTACCTTACCTTAATTTTAATACTTCTAAACTAAATTGCTACATTGAGTGAACTTTTTTTTTATATAAAATTAGGGTGTGAATCGAATATATAACATAAAATTTCATATTATGTGGATAATTAATTGATCTTATAAGGATGAAACATTAGATTTTAGACTTGTCACACGAACACGAACAATGATATGTTTATGTTCATTCATTTAACTTTAATTGAACAAACGAACGAACATGAACTACTAAACGAACGAAATTTCTTGTTTGTGTTCGTTCATTTAAATGATAAACGAACATAAATGAACGAACATAAACGAACACAAACAAATAAACATAAAGGAAGGTAAACGAACAAACATAAAATTATTCGTGTTTATATTTGAGAACGTTTTTTTTCTTTTCAAATATTTAGGATTTATATTTTCTTTAATTGATTTGAGTATTTTTTATTTGATTTTAGAATTAATTGAGTTTAAAAATATTAATGGGTTTAAGATTAAAATTTATTAAGTCTTAATATCTTAAACATATTACGTATCTGGAGAACATAAACAAACATCGAATATTCACGAAAAAAATGAACGAACGAGTCTTTTGTTTGTGTTTGTACATTTAATTAAACAAACAAAAAATCTTATTCATGTTTGTTCGTTTAATAAATAAAAACGAATATAAACAAACTTCCCACCGAACATTCGATTCATTTACAAGTCTATAGTACTCAAACTAAATTAATTAATTAATAAATCGATAATATTGATTGAAATTTCCATAAACTTATTCAAATGCCAGGCATTTTTCTCGAAAAATCACCGGTGACCGGTATATTTACCGATCTAACACCGGTCAGATTATATTTTTCGATCTAACACCCTTTGCAGTAAAGCGCGCCCCCTGAACCACGCTATATGTTGACATGGAATACATGTGGGTATAGCGCGGCCCCTGGAGCGCGCCTTACGCCACGTAGGGTATAGCGCGGGTCAGAGGCCGCGCCTTACCTTTAATTCTCTGACATAATTATATATAGCTCGGGGCAAGGGCCGCGTCATACCTTTAACTGATATAATTATATAAGGCGCGGTACACTGCGCCTTGTATAATTATAGCAACTTTTCTCGGCTATAAATACCCTTCTCCCCCGGTTAAGTTCCTCACATCTCCTCACACCTGTCATCTCAAGTTATAAATTAATACAACAATTCTATCAACGAGTCAATAATTCTGACAGTTGTCTCATATTTGATTCAGACGTTCGTGCGATTTTTCGTTATAAGGTAATTTTGTTATAAATTTTTTTATTATACTTATTGTTTATTATGATTATTTGAAAAATATTATACTAATTGTTGTCAATTAATTTCTGTGTTTGTAAAATTAGAAAGCGGGAATATACGTCGAAATAGTTTTGCGGTACATGTAATAATATAAAATTATATTATTTAAATTATTTACGTTTATGTGTAAAAATTTTATTCTGTTATATTTTCGCTCATATATTATTTATTTAATCAGCATTGTTTTAGTTGTTGTTTTTTTACAGATATAATATTGTCGTACTTTTAAACTCAAAGAATGGCGTGACTTTCAGCTATTGTTTATGATGGTGAAATTCGAGAAGATGAAACCGACATTGTTTTCGTATCAAATGAGTGTGTTAAAATATCATTGAAGAGAACCATAACTATTAAGGAGATAATAACGAAGATTTCGAGGAAGATTCATGTTAGAAGTAGTAGAATAATGTCGTCGTTGCAATACAGATTTCCAACATCATTGTTGCCATTAACTTATACAGCGTTCGAACTTTTGAACAATGATAATGTTGAAATGATGGTTGAAGCTCAAAGTAATTATTCAGACACCGATATTGAGATGTATGCAAATTTTATTCAAGTGCGTGTCGTTCGAGGTCAATCATTAAGCTCCCACTATGGGCTGGCTGAACAAGTTGATCAAGTTGACAGCCCGACGACAGTAATGTGTAATGATTTTAATGCCATAATGGGGAGACATTCATCTGCAACTCCTTAAGATATGTACCAAGGTGGGTCGACGAACAATCCATATGGCAACATCGCGTCCAGTTCAAGGGGAAGGCATTCATCTGTAAATTCGTTTGACCTTAATATGGAGATGACATCAACGCAACCATCTGTGTAGTTTCTATTTGACACGATGGTTTCAAGCTCCAGGGGAAACATTGGACTGTAAGCTTTTTCGATCTCAATATCGATATGTATTCTAGTTCAAGGGGAATGCCTGCAAGTAGTAGGTTCTTCGACCTAAATGTGGAGCACATGGAGGAACCATCATCTCCACCAGAAGAACCGCTTCGTGAGCCTGGTGCGGATGGTGCTGATACTGGAGTAATCATTCACCCAGAATCACCGCAATTCAACTCTGATGATGATGAAGTTCCAGGAAATGTGGCACAAACTGACCCTCCTGCACACATGTATGAAGTTGATTATGGTGCAATGTACAAGTCAGAATTTGTGGATATGCCTCATCTTGGTGACTATGGATATTACTCATCAATAAATAATGGTAAGTTATCTTTAGGCATGGAGTTTTCAAGCAAAGAAGAAGTGGTGATGGCTATAAAAATTTACAATATTCGTAATTATGTTCAGTCCAGAGTCAACCGATCCACGACAAAAAATATGTATGCTATTGTGCCCGACGCGAAAACGGATGTAATTGGATGGTTCGCGTATCAAAAATGAAGAGGAAAAACAATATATGGGAACTAACAGTGTACAACGGTCCTCACACATGTTGTGCTGGAGGGGTCAACCAAGATCATCCCAACTTGGACTCTGAAATGATATGCCAAGCCATCATGCCCATGGTAAAAACAAGCTCTTATATAGCTGTTGCAGTGTTGATTTCAGCTATACAATCGCAGTATGGGTACACTGTCTCCTATAAAAAAACTTGGTTGGCAAAACAAAATGTCATTGTCAAACTTCATGGAGAATGTGATGCATCTTACAACGAACTTCCAAGTTGGTTTAGGCTGGTGCGGACGTTGAATCATGGGACAATTGTGGACTTCAAAACCTCCTATTCATACCATAATGATCAAGTTCTTCGTGATCGATGTCAATTCTACCGGGTTTTTTGGAGTTACCCACAGTGCGTTAATGCTGTCAAATACTGCAAGCCTATGGTCCAAATCGACGGGACTTTCTTGTATAGAAAATACAAGCAAGTTTTATTATTGGTAGTTGTCCAAGATGGCAATCACAATATTCTTCCAGTTGCTTTTGCTCTTGTCGAAGGAGAATATACAGATTCTTGGGCTTTTTTCCTTCGAAATTTACGTGCACATGTTATCACGAGGGAAAACATCTGTGTCATTTCAGATCGCGGAGCTGGGATAAAAGCAGCAATGGAGTCTTTGGGTCAAATGTGGCAACCACCCTTTGTCCAACATAGGTATTGTCTCTGACACATTGCTGCGAACTACCATGGAAGGTACAAGAAGAATGATGAGCGTCAATTAATTGTGTGCATGGGTAAGTGAAACTGATGTAGTTTGTTTTCTTTCGATCGTTTTAATTTTGCAAAGAAAGCAAGTTAGTAAGTTATACATTTTTTGATCAGCGAACGAGGAAGGATACGATTACATCAGCCTCATCGATAAAGAAATGTGGACGAACGCATATGATGGTGGATATCGATATGGTCACATGACAACCAACTTGGCAGAGGCAATCAATTTAACCTTAAAGGGTGCACGTCACTTACCAGTAGCGGCTTTGGTAAAGACTACATATTTTTGTTTGGGGGTGCTTTTTGCGAAGCTCGAGGGATAAGCTCAAACCTGGATGCAAGGCGGTCATGTCTATCACCCTATATTAGTTGCAGATCTACAAAAAAAAATTATGTATCAAATGGAATGTCTGTAACAAGCTTCTCTAGAAGGCATGGAATGTTTCGTGTCACAGAGTTGCCGCGACCTCTTCAATGGATTGAAGATGTGTCATTAAGAGTAAATCTAAGGGACAGAACGTGCGACTGCGGGTTTTTTCAAGCTCTGAAGTATCCATGCTCTCATGTGATAGCAGCTTGCTCGCATATACGTCAAGACTATAACTATTTTGTGGATCCCGTATACCTAATATCTGAAGTTTTTAAGGTATACGAATTTGAGTTTCCCCCCATAGGTAATGACAAAGACCCTGATGAGGTTCAAGATTGGCTTCCGATTGTACCAAATCCGAGTTTATTGACGGAGCGTGGTCGCCCAAAATCCAATCGAATTCATTGCGATATGGATATTCGAGAAAGATCTAGACAAGACAGAAGATGTGGGCATTGTAGAAACCCAGAACACACTAGAAAAACATGTCCACTTCTGTTCCCATCAAGTAACAATTGATGAGGAAATGATGTATTTGTTTATCAAATAATAATTCTTGTACTTTAATTTGCATTTACTTCAAGTTAATGTCATTCGATAATCGCTGATGAAGATTAAAAAAATGATACAATAATACGAGATTGGACGTTTGCGTTATATGTGATTATAATAAAAGAGATAATAAGTGACAAACTTAAGAAAGTTATCGAACACAATCATTAAATTTTATCAAACTAATAACAATTTGGTATTTCAAAATAATTTTAAATACAACAAACTTACAATAAGTATTAAATGGTAAATGATAACCAAATTACAATAACTGATGTTAAATGGTAATAAACAAAATTAACTGAAATACATTAAAAAAAGTCCAACAAATTTAACAAAATAAAGTAAGTATTGAATGAGAAATAATAAAAAATTACAATTAAAAAGCCCAATAAACTAAATACAAATATAATAAAAAAACAAAATCTATCGAT